TTTTTTTCCCCGCTCCATGGTACTCAAGGTCAACCATGCTTGCTTCGTTCATGGCGACCAAACTCAAATCATTGGCTTCGCCCAGCACTGCGTGTGCAATCGCCGCTGCCTGACGAAATCGCCACTCCTTGGAGGCAAGGAAGTCCACTTCGTTGTCGAGCGGGATAGTCGCGCCGTCCTGTTTCAATCCGAGATCGCTCTTCAGGTCGTCAAGAGCTTGCAGCCTGCTGATGATGGGTCGTGTTTGACCAAGCGAGGCGATGCCCTGGTCCAATGCGTTTGACTTGGCAAGCGTGATGCTCCAAGTCCAAGCAACCGTGGTGAACTGTTGGTGATTGGAGATGGATTGTCACACTTCCTCGCTGAGGTAGGTCGAGGCTAAGAAGACGTTGATTCCGGGGAATCTGATTGGGTGTTGCGACAGACCCAACTTGGCGTGGTAGATTCGGCGTCGGAGGATGAAGTAGAAGTTTCGTCTAGGGTATAATGTTAGCACATGTGTACAAATCATCTTGTCGTCGCTGGGCTTCTTACCAAGGATCGGCCAGAGCACTTGTCTCTGCTCCTCGCTTGCGCCGTACATGATGTCTTCGAGATTTTCGGGTTCCATCATGGGTGGCATGATGGCTGGCTGTGGAGACGACATTTTGGTGTTTCGTGTTACGATCCAACCCAAGTTATGTAAGCTAGCTAGATAGAACCAATCAGGTTGGACCCAAAGGCCCGATGGCTTCAGGTCCCCGGCTCCAGGAAGTCCGGTATGAAAGAAGGCCTCCCCAGGCCTCTTGTTCCCGGATCTTCAGCAAGCAATAGCTTCTACAATCAATCAGTACCTTTCGGCTACTGCTCCGTTACTCTATTGTTCTATCCCAGCGATAATACTCCTGTGCTTGTAACGGTTTGTCACAAGTTCCTAGAAAAGATGGCGATTGGGAGCAAATGAATGGGCGATGTAGAAGGTGAAAATGTGTTGGAATGGAAAATCGTTGTAGTTGAAGAGAGAAACGGGACAGCGGATAGGTAATTGGGACATGCATTTGGGAGGGGCAGCAACCCGACTTGCATGTGACCGCATGCGAACATGGAAAGAGCCTTCCCGGTGAAGAATTGGACGCCTCTTCACGCTACGTACCTCAATCTATGGGATACTTACAATGGCTGGCTTACTCAATGGCGGTAACTTCCTCGGGAACAATCATTCCAGATTCCCAGTGCCAAAAAGTTCAGAATATGTCCAGACAAGGAGATGCTGACCTTGAAGACCATTCCAACAACCAAAAAGCGAAAGAGGCTCAGCTCAACGACAATAACAATCCAGATTAAATCTTGAACCCGCCAGCGCAGTCCAGACACGATTGAATACCACATGCGCCGAATCTCGCTGAGTGTCCCTTGAGCCTTGTTGACATGTCGTTGAAAGGGGATACACGTGATCCCTCACGTGCGACAACAACTTCACCGATGAACCAAAGCCTCCTCTTCCTTCATCATCGTAATCAAACGAGACAAACTTTTAGCCTATGCCTCCTTCGGACAATTTCAATACCGCTCACTATAATATTCGTTTAGCCAAATTGGTGACAAAGTTGCAAACCCGTTGTCTTGGAGCCGTGTTCACTAACGGATTTTGGCGCGGGGGGGGGGGGGGGGGGGGGGGGGGGTGCTGCAATTACTGTTAGTGAGAGGGCCAAAAATCGGCAGGAACAATGGATATTTTCCTTAGTTCTGTGGGCGCTGCACGCTCTCTGTCGCCCCGACAAGGCTTCAGTAGGTAGAATAAGTACTATCCTCCAACCCACCAGTCTCATTACTGTAAAAAGGAACGATGAAGGCAAGATATGGTAGTTGCACTTGCTCGCCGACGCTCGATAACATTTGAGCAGGATCGTAGTTCGTGCACCGCGACATTTGGCAATGGCTTGCCGCCCTGCCGAGTCGAACAATCGCGGACAAAAGCCAGAACAACACCCTTGTGCAGTGCATTTCTGATCAATGACCCCTTGTTCTCATTTCATCGATTGCCCATGTTTGCGGTGCAATCAAGTCCGGGTCAGATTTTCTCTATCGTATCGAACTTCAACGATGGTGCCAAATGCGGCAGTTGCATGCGCCGGACGTACTGTTTGGAAATTGAATGTTTACTTCCGTTGGTTTGGCAATGCAAGCCTCTGAACACCACGTCGTACAACACGAAGCCTTCCACCACTTTTAACAACAGAATGGACCACGGCAGTTCATCCGCCTAGACACTGGAAATATATTTGCAAGTGAGAGTGGAAAGAAATAAAGACGACCCACAGCTTCCAGCCGAGCCCGGACTCCACAGCGAACTACAGTACAACACCATGTACGGGAGACCACGCATTACGATATGCCTTG